GCAACATCCTTCTCTAAATTTTACCCTCGGGTGGCTCACCAAAGGGTGAGTCAACTTGGAAGGGCAACATCCTTCTCTAAATTTTACCCCTGCATGGGTCCACAAAAGGGTGAGTCAAGTTGGCATGGCCACTTCCCTCTCTAAACTTTACCCCTGCATGGCCTACAAAAGGGTGAGTCAAGTTGGAGTGACCACTTCCTTCTCTAAATTTTACCCTGCCCACAAAAGGGCGAGTCAAGTTGAAATGGCAACATCCTTCTCTAAATTGTACCCTCGGGTGGCTCACCAAAGGGTGAGTCAACTTGGAAGAGCAACATCCTTCTCTAAATCTTACCCCTGCCCACAAAAGGGTGAGTCAAGTTGAAATGGCAACATCCTTCTCTTAATTTTACCCCTGCATGGCCCACAAAAGGGTGAGCCAAGTTGAATTGGCAACATCCTTCTCTAAATTTTACCCTCGGGTGGCTCACCAAAGGGTGAGTCAACTTGGAATGACCACTTCCTTCTCTAAATTTTACCCCTGCCTTGCCCACAAAGGCAGGGCTTCCGAAAAACTCCGTGCAGCCTAGAGCTGCTTCACTTTCGCGCTCGCCTCTTCTTGCCACGCGAAGGGAAATCCGCTGGATTTTCGCTGGAGGGGACAAAGATAAAATGCAGCTGAAGATTTCCAGCCATCGCCAGAGAAGCGACCTTCCGCAACAGCCTGTTCAACTGTGAAGATGACCTCCCTTTCGCGGCCGCGCCCAGAAAACTGCAGAGTCAAGCAGAACAACAACTCTTGTCGAGTGGTGCTTGGTGGACCGCAGAAGCCACTTCAAGAAAAGCACGAATGCCTCACCGAACTTCCAGGACGTTGATGTGTGCATGAAATTTGGAGCGAACACTGAAGATGTCGGAAAAGTGCTCAAGCTTCAATTTGTCAGAATCATGGCCAAGTAGCGTCCCCCCGGCACATCCAGAAAGTATCCGTCTACTAAGTCAACCCCAACACAGGTACCACAGAGCGCGTCGTCAACGTCCTTCTTAAGATTTCGGACTGCGCATCGTGCATCCATAGCTGCATCGAAAGCTCTTGCTGCTTCACAGGTGGCACCAGGGCCAGCGTCGCTGAAAATCATGACATGATCGGTGGCCACCGCAGCAACAAGCTCAAACGATGTAGGTGTCACGCAATCACAAGCCAAGAGAGATGAAGTTGGTATGCCAGCATCTTGACAAACACTCAGCATCTCTTCTTGGGCTATGTAAGAAGACCAAGAAAATCCCATAGGCCAGACGCAGTGCAAAGGATATAGCAAACCTTCGCGCCAAGCATGTCCATCTTCCATGTGCTGCCGCTGATCCGCCACTGACATTCCAGCATTGACAAGTTCCACTGTGGAGATGGGCGGTTTGGCCATGTATCGACGAAGAGAGCTGGGAAGCTTCAACTGGTCAAACCAACACGTAGCATCGCGCTTGCTAAGGCGTAGTGGTCTTCCATCGCTGCACTCCAGAAAGGTCAACGCAGTTGGGGAAGCCAAGTGTCTCGGCTTTGGAGGTGCAGAAGCTGATTCTGAAACACGCCGGCCGTGCCATACCTCCCTCAGGCGTTCACCCCCAGGCTTCCCAACAGCGAAAGTGGTACCACCACCCTTGCAAAAAGTTGCTAAACTCAACTTACCACACCGCAGCTGCTTGACAACCAATTTTGCATATTCGTCTTTCGGGCCCTTAAGGAGAAAGGTTCAAAAACACGCAAAGAATCATCGCTGTTGTCAAGGATTCCTTCAGGTGTTGCCAAGCTGGCCCGCACATGGGCTGGCAAGTGCGGCAAAGGATCGCATAAGCCAGCCGCTTGCAAGTTGTCCACCCTGTCAGCAACCAAGTCTTGGAAAGAAGTTGTACCTGCAGTGAAACCTGGCACAAAATCTGGCACAAACCGCTCCCAGCCATCTTGCGCATGTTGCAGGCGTGTGAGTGTCCACACTGTGCGATCCACGATGTTTTTCAAAACTGCTTGTTGAGCGAACGTGTGCTTGCCAGTCGGCACTGTCTGCTTTATGCCGTGCAACCAGTTCAGAATGCCAATGACCACGTTGATGAATTGGAGGAGCACGCTCCACCTGCCACTTGTCATGTCTACAGGCTTCAGCATGCTACCACCAAGCGGGGCCAAGGGAAAAACATCTCGTTGCCGAGTTCTGACCGGCGGCTGCACAGGCAAGGAATTGCAAAGAAATTCGCCCAACACTCCAGTTCCAGTTTTGGCGGCAAGGGCGAGACGGTAGAACAACCAAACCTTGTCTGATGGAATGGTGGAATGGCCATCTGCCCTCCATGCCAGCCACAAAGCCCTTCTGCGTCGGGAAGAACAACGGCTGGCAGAAGAACAGCCCTGTTTTCGATCGGAAGCATTCTGACGCGTGGCATGAGCAGAGGCTCTGTGGAAGTCGCGTCTTTTCTTGGATGGTGACATGCAAACTCTTCCCCGATGAAAACTTCTTTGCTGGCGGAAACCAAAAAACTCCAGCGAGGAGATCCAACGAGAGAGGAGCTTGATCACTGCCCACCCATGCCGGACGGACCGACACAGACACCGCACGAAGCGACCCTGATTTCTGACTGGAGCCCATTTGGCCACATTTCTATCGTTCATTTAAACAATTGATATCAGTTGATACTGGAACTCATCACTTTTCGGTTTCTGCTGACGAATGCATCACCTTTCACTGAACGGTTCATTCATGAATAATTGTCCATTCGGTAACACCCCGACGCTTACATTCGATACTAAAGGCCCCCGACATTTATAATTCTGTACTAAAACTCCCCGACGATTACATTCGGTACTAAAGCCCCCCGACAATTACGTTTTGTACTAAAACCTCCCGACATTACTTTCTGTACTAAAACCTCCCGACAATTACTTTCTGTACTCAAACCTCCCGACACTTACTTGCTGTACTAAAACCTCTCGAAAATTACTTTCTGTACTAAAACCTCCCGACAATTACATTCTGTACTAAAGCCTCCCGACAATTACATTCTGCACTAAACCCTCCTGACAATTACATTCTGCACTAGGACCCCCCAACGTGACCGCTTCCCACAGTGCCGCATAAAAAAAGAACCCTTAGCATAAAAAAAGACACCATTAGCATAAAAAAAGAAACCAGGAGCATAAAAGAAAGAACTGCAAGCATAACAGAAAAAACCATTAGCATAAAAAAAAGCACTAAAAGCATAAAAAAAAAGAAACCCATACCCCAAAAGCACACCAACCCCGCTGTGAGCATAAGAAAAAAAAAACATTAGCATAAAAAAAACACCCAGCCCTATAATATCTATATATCATCCTATTCATCAGTAATTAGGGCATTCCAAAGAACATCTGGAAACACTCTTGTTCACATGTCACAATTACAGTGCGGCATCAACTCTCAGTTTCTTGATCCCAACATCTTCAGAACACAAAATGACAACAGAACCAACATGATCAAATATTGCAGCAGGAGGCAAACCTCAGGCGCCCAAACAAATGGTTTTCTCGCAGTTCCCTATTCGACTTACTGTAACTCCTATGTTTCATATATGTTTCACAACACCCGCTTTGCGACCACTGTCTCATACTTATACCGTGTACCCCTTTCTGGCGCGGCTTAGCGCTTGTTCTTGTTCATCCAGTCACCAGCTCACTAGCAGTGCCTTGGATTAAACCTCTTTAGCTCAATTCTCATGAGAAATCTGAATGTGCCGAGGGTCCGAACTGCTCATGTTTGGGAGAGATGTGTCCATGGTCGCTACGACCAATGCCACACGCATGGTACGACCGGTGCTTTGACCCCGACCGGCTGGGCCGGGCTCCTCCGGAAGCTTCTCCTTCGACTCGGTCT